GATTACTAAATTTATTGAAATAAGGTGAAGTAAATAAACAGGGAAATGAAGTAGTTATTTGAACAAACAGGAAGATATTTTCGATAAAGGATAAAGGAAACTGTTTGTGTCTGTTTATAATATATTCGAGCACAATCACACAGCACAGTTGAACTGCTTATCTATATAAGCACCACGATCAGCGTTGACATTTTAAAACTATCCAGGATTTTACTTTGGTGATGGAGCTGCAAACACCTCATGTAGTTCCTCTAAGATTGTTCCGAGTCCCGAGCCCAGATAGATGGAGAGCGTTGGACATAGGGTCAGCAACCCCATCTCGTCGATACAATCTTGCTAAAAAAACGCTGACCAGAATAAACAATTCAAGCCATTTAAACTGTGCTCTACGAGTTGAAGGATCTTCATTTAGAAGAATTATGACAACTTATGACGAAAGCCAATATTCTTCGGAAGTCACGAGACCGATGCTTTTTCTAACAACCAGAGCAACAAATAATATAGGTACATAGAAATTCCAAACAATGTGGGAGACTATGAGGGTCAATCAAATAGCTACGAAATTGAGGAGATACAACTTGTAGGTGCTTGGAATAAGTGAAACTCATTGGACCCAAGCTGGACATAAAAGGATGGATTCGGTAGAGATGTTGATGTACTCCGGTTAGGAAAAGGATAATACTTTGCGCACATACAAGGCGTTGCACTGATGCCGTCCAAATAATCACGAAAAGCACCTATAGGATGGGAATCATTAAAACGTCCTTCAAAACAAAGGAGGGATTCAAAACGAATGTTATCGTGTTATACACCCACCAATGATAGCAATGACTATGATAGAGATCAGTTCTACTCTAAGCTGCAATCGATTACAATGAAGTGCACAGGAAAAGACCTGAACACCAGACTCAGAATGGACAACACCGGGTATAAAAATATCATGGGGCGACGTGAACTGATCGGGAAAAAGGAACAAGAATGGTGACAGAATGACAATTTTAAGTACACTAAACAAAACGGTTATAGGTAGCAATATTTCCACACAAACACATACACAAAACAACATGAGTCTCACCGAATCACACCACAGAGAACCAGATAGATCATATTTACATCAATAAAAAATTCAGAAGGTCAATAGAAGACGTGAGAACCGAGAGATGAACTAACATATCTTCAGATCACCACCTGGTGGTTGCCAAGATGAAGCCGACGCTAAAGTATCACTGGACTAGTGGAGAAACATCATTACAAAGGTTCAATACACCCTTCCTTCAACGTCCTGACAAATTAAACGAACTCAAGATGGCTCTCGATAACATGTCCCGAGCCTTACCAGATCCACTCAAAGAGAAAACTACTATGGAGGACAATTGAAAAGGGATTAATGAAGCTTAAACTTCAATGTGTCAGGTTGTTCTGGGCCTTCAGAAGCATCATCATAAGGAATGGATCTCTGTCGAAACCCCAGACAAGACTCAAGAAAGGAGGGACAAGAAGACAGCAATTAACAATATCAAAGAAAGTCAAGTCACAGACCAAACACACAGAAACAAACAAACGAGATGGGGTATAAGAGTTGATAAGCAGAAATAAGTGGAAGACCTAGCAACGACAGCAGAAAAGGTTGCAAGAGAATGAAATATGAGACAACTATATGACACAACGGTAAACTAGCACGCAAATAGGAACCAGAGAGACCAGTCAAGGAAAAAGAAAGCAAGCCAATCACTGAGATTCAAGAACGGTGGAACAGATGAATAGAGCAATCTGAAGAACTCTTGAATGGATCAGCCTCACTGCATGAACCGAATATCGAATATAACTTGGAATGCTGAAGAGGAAATGAAAAGAGGAGAACCAAAGAACACACTGCGCCGAGATTTGGCAAGACATGAAAAGAATGAATAGAAACTGGGAACAAATGATCTGTGATTTAATCAAATTCCCTGGTACGGCCAAGAGTGGGAGAGTCCGCTCTCCCTCTCGAAATGCTCTCACACGGCAACGCGTATACAGCCACTGACAGGTAACTCCCATTTACTGACTCCTCGCGAAGAGGGTGTTGTTTACGAAATTGAGAGGACGAAAAGCGAATGTCCGGCGCTTTAACCGGGTTGGTGGACACGGAGACTCCACCTAGGGGAGTTGGAAAACCCTAATTCCAAACCAATGGTGCACATGGGCTCCAGTATCCTGAAGGAACAAATGGCGTATGAACCAATCGTTGGTCACCGGCAACCATGGGAATGCATCTCCTTACGATGCTCCGCTGCCTTGTGGACGAGACCTTCAGGTCAAAGGCTCCGGGTGCGGCCCCCTAAGAAAACCACCTGCTTCGGTTTGGGCACCCGGGTAGTGTCACAGCCCTCATACATATCAAATGAGATCTGTGTGACGCATATGTATTTGGTGCCTCCTTGTACCAACATCTATGTGTTAAAATAAATAAAAAGAAAGGATTGCCCAGGATAGTTCGATGGAGAATGCTAATGGGCAGCCTATGCTCCTCCATGAGTGGTAACAGGCGTAAGTGAGATGGAGCCAAAGTATGATGGTACGAAAACATCCATATGACTTTAGTAGTGACAAATTTGTCTGATACATAATTTCATATCAAAAGCTATAAGGTCTTTTGGTTGCATAATCCACACAATCAAAATAACCTATCGAAACCTTAAAGATGACGAAAAACTGCATACATTTATGCTGCCTACTGTTATCATATCATGATCACGATTAGGGTCATCGTTGCAGTCACCCCAGTAAATTTGGATTATAAACATGCTCTTCAAGAGTGAAACTTATTTAGTGGTGGTTATTTCGTACTCTGAAGCAGCCTTTGTAATCCTCTTATTCAGCTTTCTAATCAGTTATTCTTATTCACAGATGTATATATGATGTAGAAAATTCGTGTTTCTAACTGTAGGGTTGAGCTGAATATTCCAAGTATTCTCAATTAAAATTCAGATAAAGGGAGAGACATAGAAATTAGATATTTAAAGCTTTTCGATAATTGATATCTGTGGACTAAAACCAAAATATATAGATATATTTCTGAATACACAGAAGTTACGGAATGATGCACTACCCTGGGAGAAAAATATACGGAATATTGATACTCTTACTCGGTCGTATTTGCCAGAGGCACAATAAATTTACCTAAAAAATCAATCTGCATCGTTTGTCATATATGAATTGGAAAAGATAACAAATTGAAATATAATGATACCATTAACATAACTAGCCAAACGAATAGCTCGGAGATTCCGAACATAACGAAATCCAGTGGAGGATTACTACTGTTGAGTTATTGTTTCGTTTGGAAAACTCGCTCTGGTATTGTAGTGTAAGAGTGGAATACTAATTTAGGAGTTTCTAAACCAAGATCAAATAAGATTGTCTGGAACATACTTGTTTGATGGAGAACAAAAGCACCAGATCTGACCTTGGAATATTGGGTATACACATGATCTGGCTTATGCAGCTGGTGTTTTGCTGACTCACAATCATACTCATTAAATATCGAACCTAATCTAGTGACACTCAATTAAGTCGATTGAAAAACTGTGATAAGGGAATGACAGTCCACTAATCAAGCCACTAATATTTCAACGATTTGGCAGCAGTACTGAAACCCACTTGATATGTCTCACTTTAGCCAACTAAGAAGCCTCACTAGCGCTCGTACCAACAAGATCATTTTGAAACTTAGAATATGAACCAGAAGTTTACTACTGAGTTTTGCTACATAAAACGGTTTAAAGCTTCCTATTGAAAGAAATGATGAATACTATGGTAAGTAAAGAATGTTACGGCCATACCTTCTCATTTACTCATTATGACATAAATTCGATCAAAGACCGTACTGTATGTTGCTACAACGATGTCGTTGATTTTCAGGATTCAGTGAGACACGCCGATCACTTAAGGTCCCGCACAATATATGCTTGGATTTATGATCTGAAATGAAGAAATGCTCTACAGCCTATTCAAAGCTTCTGACAGTAATAGGAAGAACATTCATCTGATTCCTTTTCCAGGTTGAAACTCACGTACTAGTTCACTAGTCACACTTTAAGTGTGGGGTCTGATGATGCTACTTAGTTGGTTGACCTAAGGATGGAGCGACGTTCGAACACGAGACTTGGGGACTGAGAATCAAATAACTTAGACTGAGCCCCCGCTCCAATGCATAAAATTCAGATTCACCCAAAGAGAATAGTGAAGAAAGTAAAGGAGTTATATCAGTCTAAATCATATCAGTTAGTTAGGTCCTATGATGTAGCTGAAGTAGCAACATGGCTTTTATTACTTTTTATCGTCCTCAATTTCAGTCATTTTTTCAAGATCACATTCAAAGGAAGCGCGATTAGAATATTCTTAGTTGGTTATTATGGTCAATTTTTGAGAGCACATACACTTTATAGGCACTGTTTATAGGTGTGACCAAACGTATTTTTAAACACAAAAGCTTTAGGAACTATTTAAACTGTAGATTCATTCACAGGACCCTACTGAAATTAAAGCACATTACTTCATATCAATTACTAAACAGATCGTTGTTTAGGGGTGCAGTTGGATTCAATTATAAAACAGGATTGAAATTTTTTCCATTTCAATAGTTTTCTTCTTGATTCTAATCAGTAATGACTTTTTCTAATTTGTCACTTGAAGTGAAACTTCATGTACTACTTTATAGGTAAAAATACTTCAAGCTCTCATATTATTCACGTCCAAGAATCTAATTAAATCCGATGAGCAGAACATTCTCTACCTGTGCAGCTCATTACACATTATTCAGTGGTTTTCACATCTTACATGATTTTACTTGAATTTACATGAATTTATTTTATACGAAATCAGTTATAAACTTTAAGTAGACGATAAACAGACGCCTTCGAGTTCTATGAGTCAAGAAAAGTTACTCTTAAGTAGACAGGAAATTTAAATTACGAATTTCCGACGCAAATCAAAACTTAATAAACATGGAAACTCACACTTAAGCCGTAACGCATTCTTTTAGGAACAGCGCTTCCGATTTGTACATTGAGTATATCCTGATAACTAATCTCTGAACGATGTTAGTAAAAATTGTCTACTCTTTGAAATTCATTTCTCAATGCGAATTGAAGGCTCAGTTAGTTTTACTATGCTTATTGGTTAGGTTTCGATAGGCTTTCAAAAGACATTGTGCAGCCAGTTGAATCATGATGATTATTAACATACAATTAGTCCACGAAACTGTCCATTCGCTATTCAGAGTTTCTGTAATCCCATTTAATTTTTCTAATCGTTGCATTAAACTATCGTCCGAGTTTGACTTCGAATTGCCTGAGATATTACTGGAATGACACTTAGTTCTCAGAATACATATCTGCATATTCGACTCCTTATTGTCTGCCAGCATCACTGGACTCCAAAAAAATGTACTGGAACTTGATTTTGTCGCGCCGTCTAATTGGGAAGGTTGTGTTTTCAAGGGACGGCAAAAGGTAAAGCTATAGGTTCTCGAGCATACGTTGCGTTTTTTCGAGTATACAGGAATTGTGTATGAAATTACTATGTCACACATTGGTCACACTTTCTTTATAAGTGGAATGGTGCATGGTTGTTTCGAACATGGCAGCTGAACTATGTTGTTGGTGAACACGAATTCATGACGTGTGTATTAAAGAGACTGTGAATAAATCTTTGTAAACAGAATCTGCATTCACTGACCAAATTATAAACACAGTTCTAATGAGTATTGATGAGTGATTTCTCAATAGTGCTTACCGAAAATGTCTTTATTGGATGTACATTTTGAAGTGCCACTAGAATTAAGAACGTCAGATTTCATAGTACTAATTGGAAATTTTGAATTGGTTTAGTTGATACCTGCAACACCTTTGCAAATACTTGATGACTAGGTAAAATTCCAAGAGGTTTATAAACTGAAGAGCATTGTTTACAACAAGTAAGACACTTAAAGGAAAATTCTGTCAGCTGCTAATCCATGGACGTAATTAATTTGATGCTCATGACGAAGTTAAACCATTTATTTCATGATTGATTGTTTTGCTGCGCAAACATTCACTTGCACTTTTAGTAAAATAATGTAAAGTGGACAAAGTCGTAGTTAGTAGATTTTCAAGTGGAAGATAAATGTTTGTAAAAAGAACCTTAGTCAGACAGAGAATGACCGAAAGTTACTAATTTGGACAATTTTCTAAATTATATATACACTGTCCTTTCCATTGTTTTAATTTTGCTTTAAAGCAAGCATTATGGTTCTTGGCTCTGGAGTTTATCGTATTGGCTCTAGTGTTGAGTTCGACTGGTGTGCTGTCGGCTGTGTCAAAGGACTTCGATGCCTGGGATGGAAAACAGTTATCATCAACTGTGATCTCCAAATTGTATCAGCTGACTTTGATATGTGTGACCGACTCTATTTTGATGAACTATTGTGGTGTTTGAATTAACCAGTTATTCTTTTTACTTGTTGATTGCTCCATTTCGAATTATAAATACAGTATATAGGCACACTATGCGAGTTAAGTCATGGGTTTTCGCGCATATGTAACATATTATCGCGGATTTTTTGTGTCGTTATTTACCAGACATTAACAGCATTTTTCCATCACAAGTGAATTTTCGTAATGCGTGTGCTTGCAACAAAGTTTTTATTCCAATTTAAAAGCAGTTTGACGTATTTCTTGCTCACCACCTAAGTAAATATGTAGTTAGCGTAATATGGCTATTTTTAACAATAAAAATTCAAACAAGTCAAACTCACCACTTTTTTAGTCAAAAATAGATTGAAGATTGAGGTTTCATGAAAATAAGCAGTAAAACCCATTATATATGGTTCACCTCCTGGATTATGTTGACAGCGAACATAGATGTCCGTAGTCGTTTATAAAATATAACTAGAAATAATTAACCTAACCATGAATATTATATAACTTGTTTGTATTTAGCCATAAAAGGTCATATCCACTATAGGTAGCATTGTTTTGTGCTGAACTGACATATTATTATGTAACGTATCAGAGAAAAATTATGTGAGTAACAATTGACGTTGATAGTTTTTTCTAGCGGCTTTCTGAACATATACAGGAACAGTGTATAACACCACATTAAGTAGGCACAAAATCTTCATAAGTAAAACGATGGGTGTCTCTTCTGAGCATGGCGACAAAACCATGTCGTACTTAATACTGATTTATGATGTGTCTGCTATAGGGTTGACGAATAAGTTTCTGTAAACGTAATGCGCAATCGCAGACCAAAATGTGAACAAAGTTATATTGCATATTGTCGAGTAATATCTAAATGGTGCTTTCCAATTTTTCTTGTTAATACCAAATGTCTAGACGAAATACTACAAGGGTTAGACTTATAGGTACATTCTGTGACCTGCTATTTGATTAACTTATTGAATGTGATACTGATAACTAAGTCCGATTCTGTATTGCACGACTAATTTGTTGTTTTTCAGAATTGTATGAATCCATTAAAGTCCTCAAAGGTTTGTGATGACGTTTACGCCGGTCTAGAACTTATGGAATTTGTGATTATGGAAGATCATGTAAGAAACCGGTTTAGAAGTTTACGATAACTGTGTTCCATATTCACTAGTTACATTTTAATTCAACTAATGAATTATTGAACTATAAATATAGCAACTATACTCAGTGTTTTACCTTATAAACCGTGTCCGTATTTATAAATAGTCGATATGACGCTAGAACAAATATAGATAGAGAATAATATGAATTCATTATAATCCATGGAATGAACAAGTAATAAAATGGATTACGTAATAATTCATTTCATTTTTGAAATTTAGTTACCGATTTATTACAGCATCCTATCACTTACATCTGCTCACTTAATCATCTGTAATTATGTGAACTCTTCGAATTGTAATCACTTATTACGTAACCCAAGTTTTCAGTTCTTAAATCCACGGATCATTTATAACCTATGGGATTTTCACACCACTTATCTGTCTATGAAATCCAGTCCACTATTACACCACCCATCCTTAATCTTTTATTGATTGTTAAAAGCAAATAACCTTTGACCTTAAACTGGACATATATATATATACTTATGTATATAGTCATTGTTGATAACCTACGTCATTTCAATTGTTCATATTCAGGTATGTCAACTGTTTCCCACATCACTGTGAACTTCATTGCTATTCATTCCCATGAAAGTAGAAATAAGGTGAAAATGAAAATTGTGCAAAATTTTATTGAATAATCATAACTGCTGAAGCAGAAAATCAAGTTTACAAGTTGATATTAAGAATTCTTAAGTAATAATTGTTCACTTTCTTCTCAACTTCCGTTGCGAAACTTTCACCATACTTCTCAATGATGCGATGCTTATTGATCCTTTGGCTTCGTTGAATGCTTATGTACACTTCACTCCGTCTTGGTAATGCAGTTGTATTATTTTGGAAGTTCTGCGTAATATGTAACTTCCATTTGCTGCAATACCTATGAAGTTGACGAGCTATGCAGTTCATATTTCATAATTGATATAGCTTACCTGTAAGAGTTCGTCTTTTACCAGCTCTCTCCTTAATGCTTTCGATAACTTCATCTACTGACTCACCGTGCAGTATTACTGGCTTCAAGTTCTCTTTTTCTTCTGATGACAATCTTCTTGTCCATGGATCACATACCATCCATGAATTACTACATGGATGATTGTGGAGCATGTTGTAGGATTTGATGACATATCCTTGCTCCTCTAGTCTTACACGGAATTTAGATTGGCAATTACGGAATTTATACCTTAAACATCAGATATAAATTAAAGATCTTACGATTCTTGCTTCATTTTCAAACCTTCCGATTTCCGCTTATGACCAAACGTACAATGAAACGTTGCAAACAGGTATTTGAACATGACATCTTTTAGCAACCTGCTTTCCGTGTGAATGTAACGAGTATAAGCAGTCTGAGAAGCGATAAAATTACTATTCCATACTTTTTGAAACTATTTTAAGGCGCTATCAAAGTCACTCTAGCACGGGAAACGCTTGTTCACTATCATACTTCGAAAAGCATCGCTAAGGTCGACTGAAATGTCACTTGAGCATTAAGCACTACAAACAGAGATCATTAATTATTAAAAAGTTATTCCTTGCAACCTAAGGAAATACTACAAATACTTATGATTTACCTGTGACTTGACATTTCGTTGAGGTTTACTACCGTTTTTGGGATCACAGATCAAATTACAAAGCAACAACAGAGCCAAAGAGTACACTACAAAACAGAGAGTGCTAAATTAATGCTTTTGGTATCAACTTCGTGCTTTTTTATGCAGCATAAGATGACTTATATATGAAGAAGCTTGATACTCATGTAATCCAACGAACCCACGGCAATTGAAATACGGAATGACCGCCTCTAGTCAGGCCGTTCAAGGTCGTTGAAACGAAAAGGCGGGCACATTAGAAATGATCCAACGCTTAAACCGTGCCCAATATATTCGTTTGTGCTTGTGTCGTAGTTCTTGAATCAGTTGCGTTAATTATGGGATTCCTAGTTCATACAATAATTCAAATACTTTCAAACATTATACTGGCGTCGCAATGGTGCATGCGATGGAAAAGTTAGATATTCATATAACTTCTGAAGCTTTTGAGGATAACTTTGAAAGGTTCGAAATTTGGGCTATGACCAAGGAAGATGATGAGAATGTAAATATTGTGGCACATCTCCCCACATTCATCAGAAAAGAAACATATAGCTTATTAAGAACTCCGGCTTTACCGGAAAAGCCCATTTCGCTTCCTTATACAACTCTCAAGGAACTGCTACTAGACTATGTCAAGTATGTAAATTTTGATTGCAGTAAAGGGGGGAAACTTCGTAAAATGATTCATCAGGACATCACAAATTCTACTACATCACGTCATCCCAACCCAGTGCATACTCAAGTTTATGCAGATAATTCATTGATGAGTTGTAATGCATTTCACGAAGATTGGCACAAGTTTGGTCAGTGATTGTCCTGTGGCAAGTTCCACTCTTTTAATTCATGTAAATTTCGTAATTCTAAGTGCTTTAAATGTGGTGATATTGTACATATTCAATCAGTCTGTTATACTGATGTTTATCTTACTGCAAATAATATTAAGTCTTGTAATTCTGATTCTACTGAATCGAGTATTCATAATGGTCATTTATCTTTATCAACGATTTTAAAAGACAGTGTAGAGTCATATAGCAGTTCGGGGTTAAATGAAACTTAGAATCCTTGCAAGACAACGGTTTCTAATCAATCAATTTGTCAGAATTATCATGTTATTGTACCAGATATGATTTTTCCTAATGATTCACACATTTCTGATGAAATTCCTTGCAAATCTGAAGGAAATATGTTGAATGAACCTAGTCATGATGGAAGACCTGATGTAGTTTTGATAGATGCTGATTTTTCTAATGATCCATTACTCTACAATGACATTCTTAATAAATTTCATGAAAATATTTCAGAAGAATCAAATCCTGATGTCATATCATATATTACCTATCATCATAATGCATTTGCTTCTTGTGAAAAATTTGTTCAATTCGAAGCACAAGTAATAAATGAGCTCAAGTTTGATTACAGTTCTGATTTCATATCAACTGCTGTTTACCCTTATCACAAAAGCACTTCTAATGTTTATTTCGACCAATGTGAGAAATATGTTTTAAATGAAGCCATATCGTTCATAACTTGGGGATATAAAGATCCGACATTATTTCGTGGTGGAGGATATTGTTGGGAAATCTGTGCTCTAAATTCTAGATAGTGGTTTCGGTACACAACCGACACGGCGAATGTATACAACCCCAGTAAGCAGATGGGTCTGTTTCGATTTCGGTTGTTAATTCAAATGCTAATGAGCACATTCTAGATAATACAAAGTCCTTATCCAACACACTGTCCGACAGACACAGGATGAACTTGAGAAGAGGGCGTACAATTCATTACAGACACCTAGACTCCAATTTAAGCTGTGACGGATGTGGTGTTTGGATGAACTAACGATTCCTTTGTACTTGTTGAGTGCTCGATTTCAAATTCTAGATACAGCACATTCGTTTGTGATTATCTAGTGCTTCTTGATCCAATTACGTTATTTCTGGAATTCTTAGTTCATACTATAATTCAAATACTCCTAACTGTCATAGGGCCGCGATTATACAAACTAAAAGTGCATTCCGAATAGGATCAACTCGAAGTCAGTATATGCGGCTTGATTGTTCGCTAGTTGATATAAAGTGCGGAAAACATAATCTAGAATGTTGCGAAGCCAAACTCCAGGTTCGATCATTGTTGGGGTGGCACGAGAAACTTGATATGTATTACCCGACTGTCAGGTCACTTCTCATCCTTCAGTAACTCAGCAAGAATAATCATAGTTTGTGTGGTCGATCATAGAAACGTTTGTTTTTTAATCTTTTAACCCATTTTGTTGCACATCTCTGTGGAGTTCATTGAAAGATTCCTGGTAATGGAAGGTTTGATGTTTAAAAAACTGGAGGGTCTCCTGAAGTTTCTAGACGGTTTATAATGGATGTTGTTGTGCAGGCATGAACTAAGGTTTTCCGTCTCTCGCGAACTAGAAGCAGAAGCTTTTCGTCACAGGTTGCTTTGTGGAGTTTTCAACTGTCAGTGATCATGCTGAAGGGTAGGAATGCGAGAGTACTACAGAGATCTGTAGTTTCGGACAGGCGCAAAAATTCCAAACTCAAAAACTTTAGTTGCATGTCTTGACATAATAACAATAAAATGTATAACTGCTGAAAAATATCTCGGTATACGAAAAGATATCCCATATAGTATTACAACAAAGAACAGACTGACAATATATCGTTTAGTGTAATAGATCACAAGGATTTGGACCGTAACACCTTTATAATGAAGGACCCCAAACCAAGCCAAAGTAAAAACTAACTTGAAATATCTGATGCTTTTCTTTATGTCATATGATAGAACGCGAGGGGACCTTATATTGACGATTAAGCAATTACCGTTATCTTGCACCTTCCAAAATTTAGCATCACCGAGGTCTTAGAGGGAGTGTTTAAAAAGCACGAATATACGAAGTAATATGGTCAATGAATGGAACGCTTAAGTCGAACAAGTGGTATCAGCCCCATCAGTAAGCCTTTTCAAGGAGAAGACGAATCTTCCCTGGAAAAAAAGGTCAGAGATTGAAATATGCTTACAGATCTAATATTCTGTAGATGGCTGACCGAGTGCCTTAAAGTGTGTTCAGTAAAACTGTTGTCAGCGCCAATGTCGAGGACTGGCAGAATTATATATTTTGCAGATTTACCTACCGTTAAAAATATACCAAAGTTCATACTTGGAAAAATCAGTGGTACGAAAACCGGTTAGGAGAAAGGTTGTTAAATTTGATTCACAAATGTTTTGCGTCTTTGACATGATTCCATTACATAAGCTTATTCGCGCGTGATATAAATGTCTTGCTGAAGGAGACCTGCCTCTCGTTCACGCAGTTGTATTCTTTGAAGTTCTTGGAAATAGTAGGTACCTCCATTCTGGATACAATTTCGTTTCAAAAGTACCAAATACTTTTCCCTCATCAAGTATGTATATATTCGTCGTAGCACTACTTTTAAGTAGTTTTAAATGACTGAACCCAATCTCCCAGGTTTGGGGAGTCACTTGACCTTTACCAAGGTCAAAGGGTAATTTCCCCAAGTCTTGAAGAAGTTTTGGGGTTTTAGTGCAATTTCCCAAAGTTTACTATACCGGCTTTCCCAAAAATCGCTAGCTCGGGAAGAAAACCTCGAAATTTCACTAATTTCGGAAGATTAGGGGTTTAATATAACAAAAATCCTAACTCAAGTTCTGTCATTGGTCTATACATCTCGTTTATTCCCTCTGTTGTTAACGCTTGTTTTTTGAAGATTGGTATAATAAAATCCTCACGTGTCCAGCTCAGCACGGTACCCAAGCAGTTTGAATAAACAGACTGAATGTTTATCAACGTAGGATAGGCAATATATTAAGTATCCTTATCCACTGTTTACCTCGACGCGCAATTACAACTGGTGTAAGAGTAGGCTAAAAGAAAGCTATGGGATACCAGTCCATGTAAACATCAACTGTTGAACTTAGATATCTAGGTAGGTGGAGGCTACCTGCTGTGGTTAACAAGGTTATCATAACCAATGATCAGAGGCTCAGTGACATGGTTCGGATGCTCTTTGTCTCCCCTTAGGTCTACGGTTTCTAACTTACCGTACAAATTCGTCTTTTTGCCACTAGTGCATATTTTCCTCCAAAATCGTATCTTCGATGATACGATTTTGCGGGCATCGATCGATGTCTTATCTTTTGTGTTGGCACAGCTATTGTAAATACCTCTATTCTTGTAAGGATGGTCCTGAAAATTTTATCTCGCTGAAATACTGGAGTTCGTCAGCTAGAACTAATGTATGCATTTGAGAGGATCTATGTTGAATATGACTGACTATACCTTTTATGTTGGCAATATGTTTGCTTTTGTAATAGACCACCATCACTAACCTTGGACTTATTTAGTGCTTTTCGAAGCAGCGTTAGAAACTAATATTACCCTCAGTAGTATAATGGGTTCAAAGTGGCGAATGGTTCAGTAAGCTCGTTTGTATTTCTTTTGTTTCTAGTTGCATTTTATTATTGATTGAATAATAAATCAACAAATAGTATGAATTCCTCTGACTAGGTAATGAATGTTAGTAGTAGTAATAGAATGTCTTATTAAGTACATAAATGTATGAGTGCCGTGATGTATTCGAAGCGAAATCTGATTTGGAGACCAGTCTCCTATCTGAAGATTCCGTAATCTGAGCACTTGCATTTGTGCATTTTTAATAATAAAATGTAACTATTCTTCGTTTTTAGGGTATGATATGCTCAAAACACACTTCTAGTAAGTCTCGATTACTTCTATTTGCAGATTTGTTCCATAATGTGTTTCGCTGGGCTTCCAGTCAGGTGGTTTTCAATAGTACAAATATACCAGACATAAAAGTTCCAAGGTCTTTAAATGCTGTTGCCGAGAAAACTCCACAACCAAATATGTAATTCTTATATTTCAGCCTGACTGAATGAAGTTTGGGCCATCATGTTATTACAGAGGAATGTTTGACTTCATTAGTGGAAGATAAACAATATTACGAAACCCCCATTCTTCATTTACTCTCACGAAGAAACAACGTGATTGCAACACTAACTGATTGTAATGGACGAGTTCTGAATGGCACTAGTTGTGGTGCTGAAGGTTTCCGGAACGCTCGTAAAATGTCTACTGTTGCTTTTCAAACTGTGGGTATCTCCATAGGACTGAAGGCGAAAAAACTTGGGATTGGGGCTGTGCGTGTTGTATTTAATGGGCTAGGGTCATGTAGGTTGGTAAGTATTTCCTTGCTTTTTGGTTAATCTAATAGCCTGTGCTCTCAGGTTTGAATATCTCGGGACTAAAGATGATCTCTTTGACGGATGATACAAAAGTTCATTATGGCCATGGGAGAAGACCTAGAAAACAACGTAGGATTTAAAAGGAACTTTCGCATCCCTCCTAATGTAATCATAGTAGTGGGAGTGTACATAATATAAACCCTAAATTTCGGCCTATTTATTTGTGAGTCTTCTGTTTGTAGTTGCAAATTACTTTTCAAGTTTGCGTTAATGAAACGTTGAGAGATTCTATTTACTGGTCGGAATGTTAGACAAACTGTCACATTTGATGTAAAAATGCATCGCTCCTAATGAAGATGTATATCTTATCGGAAATCCCAAAAATTTCAAGAAACTCAAGGCAATTAAAAAAGACGCTTAATTCGTTCTCTGTCCTAAGTTCTTCCCAATAAAAGTAAACATGAACTACCAAATAATTGTATTACTGATTGCCGTATACTTATGCTTGGTGAGTATTGGAGTAAGAGTCCCTTGAAATGCCGCCGGTCACTTGTTATTACTTCAGTTTTACTGAGGCCCAACTTTTATATGTACTAATTACTTCGAAAATTACATGAACACTTGAGAAAAAGTGAAACCAAACAAAATTCGCAAGGCGCACCATGGAACAATGGTTTGTGTAAATGCAATCGGACCCAGATAATTTCAAATGAAGCGCGGTAACCTGCCCCATATCTTTTACCTTTTGAGAGTACTATCTGCACATTCTACTTCGGTTAAAGATCTTACTAGTCTTGGATACAAAATAGTAACGTTTATTGCCAGTTACATAACTTAGTTTCGGTACTAAGCATATGTTTCTAAGTTGTGGTTCAAATTGACGTTCTGAGATCTGATTAAGCTTGCGACACTGAAAATATGCAGGGTCAGAAGTTAACTAATAAATATACTAAAGAGATTAATAAGATCGGTTATTGACACTAGGGATAAATCTATCTGTTATATATTCAAAAATGTTTATTCGATGGTAGCATTTATTTGATCTTAAATCAATTACTGCATTAAGTGGTGCAATCATGCTAAGTATGATTGCATCTAACCTTTCCTTAACCTACTGTCTTGGAGAGAAACATCAAGGCATTCATTCTGATGAAAGCTACTGGCAGGTTCATGCATTTGTTCGTTAGAATTACGAGTTTATGTGCTCTAGTGATTTGGAATCCTAGATCACCAACATTTTTAGGCATGCTCTCTGTATCCATCAACACAGTTGGGACTTATGATACACAACTTCGCCTTATTACTTTCATCACTCGAAGATAAGCCCTATTGTCTAGAAAATTATTGACAAGACATTACAAAAGCTGTGGAAACAGCAGCGGTTTTTCTTGGCACTTTAAACCAAAAGATTACAAATCAGCGGCGTCTGCTGAACTAGCTGGTAGTTGCTCTAAAACTCCCATCTAGTTGCGAGTATGAAAAGCGGAGGCAGCTCAAACATAAGCTGACAATTAGCCTACACTGATCATGGGCAGTGGTGAATAGCGAATGCAGAGATGGGAGGCAGCGGCGATGAGTGATACTAGACAACTGTTCATAATTGTCAAAAAATGTTATTGGGAATCTGGCTATTATTTAGACTATCTTGGAGAAAGTGGGGACTATTATTTACTCTTAGTCCAGGAGATTGGACTGGCGGGGAGCAGTTAGGTTAGCTAAAATCTGGGGACTGGACGCGATCCCTTCTAACTGGTGTCGATTGCTGGTTGTCACAATCTGTAAGCAAAGATAAAAACCGTCTTACGACAATCACAGGTGAGTCAGGTTAGTTAGTATAGTGTCTAAAATATTAGCTTCAGTAATACTTTGACACCTGACTAGAGATCATAAAGAACAAAGCCGAGAAAATCAGCTGGTTTAAGATTTGCGTGTGTATACACACTGTAAATTTCTGGAATGTAGACATACTGTCCAACGTCCTGTTATAGTTTTATTAACCTACGCTGGGACAGCGTTCGACCTCGTTGACCGTGAGGTTCTATGACTGGCACTGGAAGAAGTACAAGACAATCACACTAACACTGTATAGGTCTTCTACACGAACAGTGCTGGTAGATTCAGGGCTTATAGCGAAACCTAACCGGGACTGGTTATTGCGCAACAGTTCGCTCCGTTCTAGTTTGTAGACGCGAAACATTGCCGGTAAGAGTAGAGGATATTTGCATTCGGTCATAGATTTTTTTGAAGTACTGCTCGCGTATTTCGCAACCACAGAGTAAACAGTCCCTAGGTTAGGAATAGAGTACTAGATAAAGATGGGAAGTAGATCGATGAGGTAGTGAATCTTCATCAAATGAGTTAACTGAAACATGTGTTACGTATGCCCAAACACTGCCTACCTCGACTGCCGATGTAATCTTGTGCAGCAGTAGATTAGAAGAAAGCTAGGAACAGGCAAACCAAAATGTAGCAGCAGTCCATGGCGTCAGTGGAAACTAGACCGAGCCATAGTTACATGTAGACCACCACGTTGGGGTCCGTACGATTTTCGTAACTAGTGGTTGCTGGCACATCCGTCCCTTATCTTCCCCGAACTCTGACTAAATTTCCCTTAACTTTTTATTATTTATATTTTCCCGAGTCTTATGCCTAATCTTTCGTATTACCACTGGTACTGTTGCTACCTCTTTTTCAAGATTTGGCCTGACAGATCCATCTCTTCGCCGTAACGGAGTGTGGCAACTTGAACCCAAAATCACTAAAGTTATTTTCCTCGAATCGGTAAATGGGTACATGTCTAATTCCGAAAAGTCGCACGAACCTCGAATGGTTTACCATCTTTTTTAGTCTTTTTATAATTTCGAGTCAAGAGAGACCCCGTGTACGAGGGACTCGGTACAAAAATTGTGAATCACAAAAACCGATACTACTGGGTCTCACGTACATCAAGTGTTTAAGCACTAAGAAGTGTCGGTCGTGAAGTTTTAATTTATGATCCTTCTACGTCGTACTGTGATACCCACAACTCAAGATTACCATACATAAGCACATTCCAAGCTAAACACTAAGTACACCACAATACACTAACCCAACACAGACAAAGGTACATCTAAGATAAATTGTACTAGCAATGGAGCTGTGGATTTGATATGTGAATAATCAGTTACGATAATATTACAGATATATATTTATTAGAGTCGAGAAAGGTGTGTGAAGAACCTTTACCAGTAAATGTCAAAGTCCGACAGTGCGCGACAAACTCATGTCATACATAAGTAGCCCTTTGCAATATGTAAGATAGTAACCATAGCCCATAAACTTTATTGAGCATATTCGATAAAAACAAACTAACAGAAAATTATGTTCGGTTGTAAATTTAATAAGAAGACGCATCATTTTCCCCACATATCGTTACATCCATATTCATTGTATAATCTCGCTGAGTATCAGTTTGTTCGTAATTCTTATGTGGGAAACTGTAACCTAAATAGCAAAATGTGAAAGCAGTAAAGAAAACTAAACATTACGGGATGCAGGAAATGGTATTAAAATAGTTATGTCAACTTAATTGTTCTATTCACTGTGAAAACGTTACGCCGTAATCAAATTCCGGCCATGAGCTTTAGAATTTTGACAGTAAATGTCTGGCCTTGCTTTTATTTATGGTCTCACATATATAAGTGGCGTCCTCTGATTAGGCTTAGTAAAACTAGACAATATGGCCTGTGTTTCAAATGCAGTACGACTGCCTCGTAATTAATGCGATTGAGTGACAACGTAGTTACTTGGCTTCGAATCCTCAGTTTGTTACGGCCTTTTCTCTAGATAAAGTAGATTAAAAGGTTATTGCGCATACACCATAGTAATTCAAGCAATATATTAGCATCTCCCTCACTAGGTACGGTTGGTTAGAAAGTTTATCAATGGCGAAGCTTGCGCGCTGAAACGTCTACCCATTATGATTTTCTCCTATAAACACGTTTATCGAAAACAGATGGGTAGCGTACATGTCTAACGTTTTGAAAGGATTTACAAAAGTTTGCATAACAACGTCAAAGCAAGCTGCAAACTATTCAAATAAATAAGAAGCAATAGATATGAAAAAACTAAAGAGTAATATAATAAGCAAGATCGAAGTTAGGTTCCCGAGAATTCAGTTAACACGGAATGTGTAAATATGTTTAGTGCAACATATAATCATAGTAGGACGGTTACGGCTTCAGAATTATACTTTTTACACCATATATAGCGATTTCTGCGATACATTTATTGCTCTCGTCAGCCTAACGATGTTTCGTAACAACTTTAAAGCTCAAGTGAGACTTGAATGGAAAGGGTGCGCTTTTGGTTTACTCTCCAAATGCATGTGATGCAATTTTAACTACGGAGTGGCAACCTAGGGATGTTTAGCATGAGCTGGGTGTAGGGCACATTGGTAAGACAAAGCGTTCGTAACAAAAGGCTTATCATATACAGAGCCACAGATGTTGAGTGCCATACAGATGATACTTAACAACTTGACACCAAGAGTTTGGGCATTTAGAGATTTGCGTGCTAGCAGCTAGTAGTGTCCTCAGTTTCAACTCTCCAAACCGATGTCTATAATTACTGAGTGCGGTTTGAGTATTTGCGAATCTAACAATCCTAGTGAATTAATTGTAAGGTTTGGAAAATGTTCTTAACAAACATTATAGATGGGTCATAGTACTCACTTTCCTTTCTTACAAGCGATGAAATCACACTAGTATCAAGTGCAGACACGCGTAAGCGACTTGCATCCAAAACATTACATCCCTGAAATTGAGTATCTATATCACTCGACAAATTAAGTTGTTCATCGGATGAGGTGTTCGACTGGTGAGTTTTTGGAATAATCGCAGGAATCTCATCTTTTCCCGCAATGCATACATTTTTGGGGGAAGACATCCTTGTTTCTTCACTTTCTACCTGTATGTTTATGTAGAAAGCTGAATTACAACTTACTGCTGATGCACTAAGTGCGTTTTTTAGTGTTTCCACAAGAGACATGTTGTAGGAACTAGATATTTCTTCGGCCCTAGTAGACGTAGTAAAGAGAATCTTGACAACTTACATTTCTCTTATCACGTCAGGGATCGCTGTGGGAAGTTTAAGGTTTGAAGAAGGAGCTACTTACCGGTCAACTTAAAGTTTTCAGCGCATTTCGCTTTCCACAACTCGATAAAGGCATGTAGCTTTTCA